TTTACTCCAGATCCCATGCTTCGTCTCGCTCTCTTGCTCATGCGCTATGAGCCTAAGCCTGGGATATGGAAGCGCCTAAGGCGGACTGTATACCTAAGCTTACCAGCTTGTTTTCGACTACCATTCGCAAGAGGGCAAGCGGGGATCCCGAGCATTTACGGGCATACTTAGTGCAGTTGTGGTCTGGTTTCTACTCCTCCTTCTCTCCCTCTCGATTTTTGTCCAGTTCGCAGTAGGGAAAGCATGTGCGCCGTTGGGGGCTCCCTGAGGCGCTCTTTGGGGCATCCCTGGTAGTCCGATTTGCCACCCACTGTTGTGGTGGACCTTAGAGGATGTCTGTTGTTATGTTTGCTTCTTTCTGCTAATTATCCTACTTGCTCTGCTTCCTTCTCTTCGTTCCAGGGAAGTAGGGGCGCCGTTGGATTCTGCTGTGTGCGCTTTCGTCATAGTTCGTTTTCTCCTCGTCCGTTTCGTCCTCGTTCGTTTCGGTGTTCGGTTAGTTCGTTTTTATTTCGTCCTCTGTCGTTCCGTCCTCTGTCGTTACCCCTTTGTCGTTCCGCCGTGCGCTCCAAACTCGCGCGGGGGCGGATGCGCGTTTCGAGCGGGCGTTTAGAAGCCGAATCGTTTTTGTCTTCGTTCGTTTCATCCTCGATCGTTTAATCCTCGTTCGTTTCGTCCTCGTTCGTTCCGTCCTCTTTCGTTCCGTCTTTTGTCGTTTCGTCCTCCCGTTTCGTTCGTTCGAAATGCGCGCGGGAGAGGCCCACTGCGCGTTTCGAGCTGGCGAATTGAAGCCTGACGATTTGACACTGAACGAGTTGACTCAGGACGGATTGCCACCAGACGTGTTGACACCGGACGAGTAGACATCGTACGATTTGACGCTGGATGAATCGAAACCCGTTCGAAATGCGCGCAGGGCCGTCTCGGCTGCGTTTCGAGCAGGCGAATTGACGCCAGATGGATTGAAACCGGACGAATTGACATAGGACTACATGAACAGCCGAAACCCGATTTTGAGCAGCAGACACATTGAAACCAGACGATGCGAACAGCGGGCGGATCGAGCAGGACCAATCAAAAAGGACGGATCGAACCAGACGAATCGGACAGGACATATCGAACCAGGCGAAATTGAAATCGGACGAAATCAATGGGAATACGTCCTAGGCCGTTTGCCAATCTTTTTGGGGCCATATTGGGGTGCTCGTAGGCCGTCATGGGACTTTCTTGGGCCGTAGTGGGGCCATCTTGGAGGTTGCTTGGGCCGTCGTGGGCTCCCGGGGTTCCAACTATACGAACACTTCATATGGTCTCTCAACAAACAAAGGAAGACTCATGTATTGTCAAAGATAGCGCGGAGGAGGCTTCAGGCCCTGGAGGAGTCCTCACCGGAATGGCCAATCCACGGTAGGAGTTCCACCATTTTCCAGACCCTGGATCCCTTATCCCACGGTTCCTTACAGCCAAACACCCTAATAAGGACGCTCGACTTTGCTCAGGGTACCTTTGCGTCCTTGCTCTGACGTCCTTGAGGTTTTCGTCGTCCGCCGCCCCAAAAATCCCAACTTCGGCTTCCAAGGGTCTTGCGTCCTTGCGTAGGGGTTTTGACTGTATCCAATGCCGTCAAGGTGCAGCGTGCAGCGCTCCGTACCAGACAGGCTGCAGCGTGCTGGCGGCAGTTGCCGCGCGGGGCCCCGTGCGCGGACGGCCAGGCCCCACGGGGCTCGGCCTGCGCCGCCGGTCTGTGCTTGGCGCCCGATGGGACGTGCAGGGCGTCAGGCGGGCAGGCCCTTTTGCATGCTCCTCCTCCTCCTCCTCCTCCTCCTCCTCCTCCTCCTCCTCCTCCTCCTCCTCCTCCTCCTCCTCCTCCTCCTCTCTCTCTCTCTCTCTCTTTTTCCATGAATTCCAGCTGCTTTCCGCATGCGTCGCCAAGCAAACGTCTTCAGGGCAGGCGCACGGATCTGCTCGGCGGCCTCGCGGCAAGGATGTGCCTCCTTCGCGCCCCCCGCCGGCCCCCTTTCCCTTGCCTCACGCCTGCGCGGCATGCCGGCTCCTCGCGCGAACCTGCTTCTCATCAGTGTGGGGCGCATGGTTTGCAACAGGTGTCATGGAGTATGAAAGGTGATTGTTTTTTACTCATTATTTAATCGCTTCGCTCATTCCGCCGGCCCTGGAGCGTTATTTGGGGCCTCTTGGGGCCGTCTTGGGGGCTTCTTGGGGGCTTCTTGGGAGCGTCTTGGGGGTCCTTGGCGGCGTATTGGGCTCCCCTGGGGCCTCTTGGGGGGCTCTTGGGGGCCCCTTGGGGCGGGAGGGGGTGTAGTCGTTGGCAGCACCCCCCCCCCTCGGAGGCCACGATCCTCGTGAGGGGTGGCGAAAAATAGCCTCCCCCCTGGGGATCGCCCGGGGGTCAGCCGGGGATCGGGCGGGGTACTTTTCGTCCGGGGCCCCCCCAGGGGCCGCCCCGCGCGCGCGAACTAGAAGTATTGTTAAGTAGTTACCCGAGATCTTAGCACGCCTCTGGCCCGTTGGGCCGGCGAATTTTGCCGATCGGTGCGGGCCCTCGCCCCCCCCCTCCCGCCCCCCCCCATGGAGTAGATCTCGGGTGTTTTTTCGGCGCCTGCTTCGGGCAGCCTCCCCCACAGGACGCGCTTGCTGCAAACAGTGGCATTTAAGCTGAGATCCAGAGCCGGACCATCCCCTCCCTCCCCCCCTTCCGCCCAACGTCGAAACGCCGATTCAGAGAACGTTCACAAGCCCCGTGTTCCACGAGCGCGCATTATTTGAAGTGTTTTGACGGATCCTGGATGCTATCTGAAGGTGTTGTTTGACGATGTGAGGTGTTGCGCAATTGTGCGCGCAGAAGGGATCAAGCTGAAAAGGAGCGCGCGCATCAAACAAACTTACCGCGCAGTAGATGTTTGGGGCGCATTTCGGGCAATTCGCGGTCCGCGTGGGATTGTAGAATTCCATGACCGTGACCCATGCTTTATTCCATTTCATTGATATTACGAACAGATACTAGAATTCATTATGTTCCCATAACTCTGGATAAAACGAAACCCATAACTCGTTCTCTGTCGCAGTGCGTGAAGGCTGTGCGCGCGCTGTCGGTAGCTCGGCACGCATCCTGGGGGCGCGCGAAATCGCTCCGCCATCGCGCAACGAAATCCGTGTTTCGCGCAGGTTCGCCGACAGTCGTTGGCAGAAGCATCTAACCAGCGCACGCGTCTTCACCCGAGCCTGTACAGTCACGTGTTCTTGACATCTGGAGGCGTTCTTGGGGTCCCCTTGGGACCCTCTGGGATCATCTTGGGAACCTCTTGGGCCATTCTAGGGCCATATTGGGCCGCCTTGGGGCCGTTCTGAAACCATGTTCAGCCATTTTGGGATCAGTTTGTTTTGCGAGGATTTGGTTGGCGTTTGTGTCAGTAGGCGTCGTGTTTTTTTGCGTACGCCGCACCGCCCACCGCCTCGGCCCTTGGGTGCCGCTCTTCCGATGGGCGGTGTCGTAGACGCGTGTCGGCGCCGTGCGTCCATCTGGAAAACCCCAGACCGTAATCACGGGCCCTACTGGGTCATATTGGGTCTTGTTCTGGGCGTTTGGGGGTCCTGTTTTAGGCCTGCGTGGGGCTCGTTTGGCCCCGTTGAGGCTTTCTTGGGGGGCCCCTGGCGGTTGCGGGTTTGGGGGCGCAGAGCTCCAAATGTTTGTGCTTCGCCCCTTGGGCCCGTCTTGTAGCGCTCTCGGGGCCCTCTTCAGCTGGCGTGGGTTCGATTGGGGCCGTCTTGCAGCCTTTTTGGTTCGTCTTGGGGCCCTCTTGGGAACTTTGCTGGCCGTCTTGACACTGTTTTGGGGCTCTTTCGGAGGCAATCTTGGGACGCGTTGGGGGCGTCTTGGGGCGAGGTGGACGCCATCTTTGTTGCTCAGACCCCGGACTGCGTGATGTCCACGACGTGGACCCCCGGAGGTTTAGATCCCCGGGTTGGGACAGGATTTTCATCCCGTGTCGTGTTTGGATGATGCCCCGAGGTCCAGCAAAACCCCCATGATTAGGCATAGAGGTGGCGAGTATCTACCGTCGTGATTGTTGCTCGTCGCGCGGAGAGAGAGTACCAAACGACATGCGCGCCCACTTCTCAACGACGCGTGTTACTCCAAGACTACACGGCGCCTGGCATCCATTCAACGGCAACGTGCCGATGCAGTCGTCCGACCAGCGTGACATTGACGCGATAGGCTCGTGCTGTTCCGGCGCAGCATTGATCTTGCCGCGGGCGTTAAAGGTGAATGCCGCGAGTGTTCAGGAGGAGAAAAAACACAGACACAATTAATCGTCGACTCCGAGGAAAATATGGGAAAGTATGGGAAGTGGGGGGGAAGACAAAAACCCAGAAAATAGTGGGCATCTTTTTATTTGCGTGTATTTATTTGTGTGTCCTGGGGCCGCTTCAAGTGTCCCAGGAATTTGCCGAATACGATTTGACGATCGAGAAACCGCCAAGTGTTCGAGGATGATCGACCCGCGCGGGGCCAGAAGCCAGCGCGGGGGGTCGTCACGCCACGAGCCTACGGTTCCTGCGATGGGTTTTTGGTGCTGCGCTGCTGCACCTCCTCCCCCCCAAAGCTTTCGATTGGCAAAACAAAACTCGTCCTCCCCCTCCTCGCTCCTCTCCTCCTCGCCCTCCTCCTTGCTCTCCCTGGTCGCCCTCCCTCCTCGTGCTCCCCGTATCCCCCTCGTTCTCCCTCTCCTTGTCTTTCCCCTCCTCGCCCTCCTCCTCGCGCTCCCTCCTCGCCCTCCGTGCTCCCCCTCGTCGCCCTCTCATCGTCTTCCTTTTCCTCGCAGCAGTCGCCGCCGCGGGAGGCGGCAACAATCCCGCGTTCGAAAACACAGTTGCCACCACAAACCACGGGATTGTGAAAGAGCCACCTGGGTTATTGCGTGTACTCCCCGGGGGAACGCGCTTTGCCGAGGCGTCGTCGCAGCCCCCCCACGCGGCCCGAGGCCACGGTCCCCGCACCCGACGCTGCAGCAGTGCACGCAGTGGAGGACTCGGCGTCGATCCCGTGGGGGGGGCGAGAGGGGGCAGGCCTCCTCGTTGGCCGAGCCAGGCCTTTCGTAGATAGCAGTTCTGTTGTTTTTCCTACTCCCCCCTTCCCCTCGTCCTCCACCTCCTTTTCCTCCTCCTCGTCCTGATCATCTGTCGCCGTTCCCGACGCTTCACGTTTCAACCCCCCGCCCCCCCGGTTTTTGGCCAGGGCGACGGGGCTGGACAGGTGGTCCGAAGGTGCGGCACGAGGCTCCCCCCCCAGGCCTTCTCAGCAGGCGGCGGGGGATTCTCAGAAGCCCTCGCCTTCTGAGAAGCCGTCGGTGACGACGATGGCGAAGACGAGGACATCATCGACGTTGTCATTGTCATCGTCATCGTCATCGTCATCAATACCCTGGGGACACTTCTCGGGGAACTTGCCTGGCAGGATCGAACAACCGATGAGGGCTCGTGCGCGCGCCATCACCACCTGGTATTTTTCGTTGAAAATCCCCCTGTAGAGGGACAGGCCCGACTTAAATCGAGGATCGAGTCGCAGAAGAGCCAACTCCGGCAGAGGAAGAGGGACCCATACCGCTACCCGTGCCTCGTTTCCTCCTTCGGCCTCCTGGGAGGCCCTCGTCGCCTCGGCGGCCTCTGTGGGAACTTCTGCCGCGTCCTGGGGCTTCTCAGGGGGTAGGGGTAGGGGTTCGCATTTGGCCCCCTGAAGCTTCAAATAATAGTCCCCAGACTATTTTTGGACTATTGTTTGAATATATGTTCGGGGTATCTTTAATTTTTCGTCGAACATCCCCCCTGTAGGGGGGCAGGCCCGACTTAAAGGGAAGGCTCGGGACGCTTCCCAGGTGGCCGGGGGCCTGCCGAGCCCTCCGAGGAGCCCCGCCCCCGGGCCGCCTGCCTCTCCCCCCCCCACGGGGGGGGCTCGCCGCCAGAGGACCGCGGACGACAGCCTCGTCCTGGGCGAGGAGCGGCCGCTCGCCCGCGCTGTTCGATGATCAGGAGGAGGAAAACCACTTTTTGATCCGCGGGTCGAGGGCGCACCTCTTCCGGTCGAAGCTAAGCGGGCCGCGCGAAGCTTGAATTAGGCAGAGGCGAGGAGGGAGGAAGCGGCGGAGCCTCAGAGCGACTCCGAGGGGAGGCACAGCCTCGGAGTCAGGCGGTGCCGAAGCTGAAGTGCTTGCAAAGGGGCGCCTTCGGCAGGAGCCCGGTGGCGAAGTACCAGAGAAAAGCAAAATGTTTCCGTGGGTGTCACTGTCGTCAACGTTTGTTTACGGAGGGGGAAAAGCACACAGACACAATTCATCGTCGATTCTCAGGAAGATATGGACAAAGTATGGGAAGCGGGGGGGAAGACAAAAAAACAGAAAAGATGGGAACATATGAGGAATCCTTTGATTTCTGTGTATTGATCTGTGTGTCTCAGGGCCCCTTTCAGGCGATCGAGGATCGAGTCGCAGAAGGGCCACCTCCGGAAGAGGGAGAGGAACCCATGCCGCTACCCTTGCCTCGTTTGCTCCTTCTCTTCGGCCTCCCGGGAGGCCCTCGTCGCCACCCTCGAGAGGCCCGCCTCGGCGGCCTCTCTGTGGGAACTCCGTTGCCGCGTCCTGTGGGCTGCTCTGGGCCCCGGAGCCGCCCGTTGGGCTTGGCTTCGCTCGGACGTGTGCATTTTTCCTTCGTCGCGGACCATCGAGGAGTATTCTTGATCATTTGGCGAAGAAACCACGCACGAAACCGAACAAAAACACAGGGCATGGACGTCCGAGCGATGGCCAGTGGGCCCCGGAGCCGCCCGTTGGGGATGCGTATCTAACCCACCCCCGGGACCCCCCAGGTGACATCTCCTCGTGAGCCTTGAGACGGGGGTCATTGCAAACGGGGGTCAGCCAGAGCGCCCGATCTTGCAGGATCCTGCAGGGCCCGGGTCGCATTTACCCGTGTTTGGGTGCAGGTTCATGCAGGATTTTGCAGGATCCTTCGCGTTGAACCGGGGTTGGGTGCAGGATCTTGCAGGATTTTGCAAGGCCTGGCTGACCCGGGGTCTGGATTGACCCGGGTCGGAAGATCCCCGATCCCCAGGGATCCCCCCGCCACGGCGGGGAAGGGATCACAGGGAAGGGGCTTCCCTTCAGCTCAGCTACGACGTGCTGCATGTCGGCTTCGGAGGTGCGCGTGAGGAGGAGGGTTCAGGGAAAGGAGACGGGGGACGACGGAGACGACGATTGACGGAGACGACGAGGAGACGACAAACACAAAAACGACGACGGAGAAGTCGTGGAGACGACGGAGATGACACGACGAAGACGACGGCGACCCACGGAATAGCGTCTTCCACACGCCGACAGGGTTTGGGGATTTTCCACTATTGGTGGGACCCGTGTCCGTCAATACTGTCACTAAACATATGTTGTGTTTCCACGACTAAGGGATCAAAGTACCGATCGCGGTTACGCAATGGTAAATTAATTTCAACAACATATCAAGAACACGACTCATAAAACAACACCCGTGGCGCATGGGCAGCAACGGCGACATGAGCAGCAGCCGCATCATGACCACAGCAACATTACAACCACATCAACAGCAGCGACGACATGATCAGCAGCAGCCGCACCATGAACAACAATGGATCAGCAATGGAGCAGCGATCAGCAACCGCATCAGCAAAGTCGGTAGAGGTCCCAGGTCACCAAGAACCCTTTTGTGCTATATCAGATCTCGGAAACCACAACAAATAATCAACAGCATGATTCAGAACACAGGCCACAACAACGTAACAACCAAGTTGATTGCGACGACGACATGGGCAGCAGCCGAATCATGCCCACAGCAACAACACAACCACATGAACAGCAGCGACGACATGAGCAACAGCCGCATCATGAGCAGCAATGGCTATTCCAGCAGCAGCCACATCAGCGGCAACCCCATCAAGAACGTAGTAACAAGCATCGTCCGCATCGGCAAAGCTGGCAGAGGTCTCCGATCACCATGTTCTATTGCCAGGTAAGAATTCCCATTGCGAAAGCACAGTTTGGGACAACTGCATAGTCAGAAACGTTGCACTGTCCGCGCGAATGTCTTGGATCTGCGTTGGATCCCTACCTCCTCCTCTCTTCCCTCATCTCCTCCTCGTCCACCTCGCCCTGCCCATCTCTCCTTCTCCCTCCCGACTTCTCTTCTCCCTGCCACCCGTTGGCTGCCGCTCCCGCTCTCCCCAGGTCCTGCCGGCACGCGCAGGCAGCGTTCCAGCTTGGTCTGATGCCCTTTAGCATGTACAGTCAACGCGCGTAGTAAGGACGCGCGCCTTCATCTAGGATACCCTTGCGTGCGTGCCTATGTGGCCCGTCCTTTGCCGTTTTCCTTGGTCGCCGCCGCCCAAAAAATCTCAACTTCAGCCTCCAGGGGTCTTGCGTCGTTACCACGCGTCCTTAATATACGTTTTGACTGTAATGCAAAGTTGTTCTGAAGCTAGTCCATTTTGATCAGTTCAGTCTGCTTTGCTCGATTCAAGGAAGTTTGCTGTTTCATCAGGTCATGCCCCTCAGAATGCCGCTGCCCCTCTTTCGAACATATTCCTCCTCCCTCCGAGTCCATCAGTGTGTCCACGAGCTCGTTGGCAACAGCAACTGGCGGCGCGCCCTTCTGCAGGACTTGGTGACCTGGAGGGGATATGTGGACGAGCAGACGGTCGCAGAGTGGTTCCTGGGGAGCCTCGGGTTCGACTTGGTGTCCAAGAACTACTGGGCGGACATCCAAGCAGAAAGCTCTAAACTAACATATCTTCGGAGCTCAGCGCTGATTTTTTGGGATCTGCGCCTGGGCCCCCTTGGCGGCGCCTCTGGCGCCGCCCCTCGCGCGGTACGCCCGCCAGGGCGGGGGATACAGCGTGGGTCTTCAAAATCTTCGCAGACCTCTAAGAAGTGTACGTGTATGCAGTTTGTGGTTCCTCTAGGACAGGCCCCAGCGGGAGCACACGTACTATTGGCGCGAGTGGGACTATTTGGCCCAGGTGGAGGCGGGTGTGCGTTGGGCATCATGACGCGTCTCCGCTCTCCACTCCTCGCTGGCCTTCAGTGTGCCCGACGTTGTACCGAAGGCGGCCATATTTCAATCTAGTGGCTTTCTCTCGAATTACCTTACATGCGGTTAGGAGGGAGCATTTCTCTCGACAAAACCGTCAGAACACGCTGTATCATGCACGCCCAGAGCAGCGAGAGAATCCATTGTCCTGGCCTGGAGGAGTATGTTTCCATGCATCCACAGACGCCTGCGCGAAGGAACGGCCCTGCGCTGTGATCACTTTTTGGTGCGGGCCCAGGCAGCGATCACCCCCCAGCACTTGCCTGCGCGCCTGGATTTGGCCCCCACCCCCGCGGCCCCCCCAACCTGGCATCGCTCGGACGTGTGCATGTTTTCCTCGGCGAGGGCCGTCGAGAAGCATCCTTGATCGTTTGGCGAAGAAGCCACGCAGGAAACCGAAGAAAGCACAGGGAATGGACGTCCGAGCGATGGCCCCCCCAAAGCCGCGCACCAAAGGTCACTCTTACCCGCCTGGCATCGCTCGGACGTGTGCATGTTTTCCTCGGCGAGGGCCATCGAGGAGCATCCTTGATCATTTGGCGAAGAAACCACGCACGACACCGAACAAAAGCACAGGGAATGGACGTCCGAGCGATGGCTAGCCAAAGCCGCGCTCCACAGGTCACTCTTGCCCAGGGCCGTTTTTGCGCGTGGCCGATCCTCGACGAGCGGCCGCGGCCGCACGCGCTCCCCTGCTGCGCCCGCTCGGCCTGCCGCGGCTGGCTTCGCCCCCCTTTGGAAGAGGATCGGGCGGAGGAGGTGCCGATGTGATAAACCCGATGTTCTTAGAACATAAAACCGATGTGATAAAACAAAACAGTCCCAGCCAGACATGTTCGAAGAACACTTCGTGGACACCACAAAAGGGTTCTTAGAACATTGTTTGGTGGGGCTATAAGCGAGCCCGGACGCTTCGCCACTGCTTGAGGCGTTGCCCCCCCTCGGAAGAGGATCGGGCGGATCAGGTCCCGGGGAAGGGGGGCCGGGGGCCGGTAACGTCACGATTCGCGCCGCCGCCGTCTGGGAAGGTCTGTGGACGTAGTTCACTTTGACTGTCTTGAAGCTGCCCTCTCCACTGCTCGTGCAAACATCCCACCCTCCCACCCGCAACTTGGTCGCAAGGCCTCTTAAGACCGTCACGGTGGGTACCAAATGGCACTTGGCAACGACAGCGACGCCGACGACGACATGGTCAACGACCACGACGACTACGCCGACGACGACTACGACGGCACCGACGACGTCTCCGACGATTTCGACGACGACGACAACGAAGACGATGACGACGACGACGACGGCGTCACCGACGAGGACGACGACGCCGACGCCGACGACGACGCCGATGTTGCCGACGACGACGACGGCAACGACGACGCCGACGACGAGGACGACGACGTCGACGCCAACGACGACGCCGACGACGACGAAGACGACGACGACGACGAAGACGACGACGACGACAACGACGTCGCCGACGCCGCCAACGACGACGAGGGAGGAGGGAGGACGACGACGGCGACAACGACGACAGCGAAGGGAGGACGGCGACGACGCGAACGACGAAGAAGGAGGGAGGACGGCAACGCCGATGATGACAACGACGAGGGAGGAGGGAAGACGACGACGACGGCGACGACGACGGCGACAAAATAGGAGGGACGACGACGAGACGCCGACGACGGACGACGACGACGAGGGAGGAGGAAGGACGACCACGGCGACAACGACGACGGAAACGACGACGACGCCAAAGAGGACGATGACGAGGAATGACAGATGACGACGACAACGGCGACGACGAAGAGGGAGGAGGGAGGACGGCGACGACGACGACGACGACGATGCATGAGCGCGCGCGCACGCTTTTGAAAATCCGTGTCGCGAAACCATATGTTTTTGTATGTTTTTCGGGCACTCGATTTTGAAATCCTTCCGAAACCGAAAGTTTTTGAAGGATTTCGGCATGTGCGCGCGACTGCGCGCGCGTGTGCACTTCGTCCATTTTTTTGCAGGGGATTCTCGCGACGGCACGCGCGCATTGGCGATCGAACATTGTCGACATGCGCGCGCAAAGCCCGTTTGGTAGCATTCTACGTCCATGTTGTAAAACCATGGTTTTCTTGAATTTCGCAAGAGCGCGCGTGTAAGCTTTGTTATAACAATCTCAGTGTTGCGAAACCTTTAAGTGTTTGTATATTTTTCGGAATCTCGATTGTGAACCCCTTCCGAAACCGAAGGTTTTTTTCAGGATTTCGGCATGCGCGCGCGACGACGCGGGCGTGCGCACTTCGTCCCATTTGTTGCAAGGAATGTTTGAAAACTTGTGATTTGTGATAAACGAGTGGGCGCGCATAATACTTTTTTGACAGAGGATGGTGGGGTGGTCGATACCAGCATTGCTGGGACAGTATGAACTCACGAGTCGGATGGACGATGGGGCAGAATCATATGTAAGTTGCAATACGAAAAGGGAGATCGATAGTTCCAGAGGGGGGTAGAGTCTATTCTTATTGCAGACAGGAGAACTAACCAAAGCCAGTTCGGAGGTCAGCACGAATCGTGACGCTGCCTGGGGGGGAGGGGGGCGGGGCGGCCATGGCCGGTAACGGCCGTTATCGCGGAAGATACGGTGGAGGCCCGACCACAAGAAACCTTCCACAGGAAATCCAACCTTGAGCCCCAGGACGTCCATTGAGTTTTGCTGTGGGAGCGTCACAGCTCAGGAGTGGAAAACACAAACACAATTAATCGACGACTCCCAGGAAAAAACGGAACAATCTTGAAATGCGTGGGATGACGAACATCCGGAAATTATTTGAACGCATGGGGAATCCTGTTGTTTGTGTCTATTTATGTGTGTGCCCCAGGGCGCCTTCCACAGGGAAGGGCCATGGAAACCCAAGGAGCCCAGGGCACCCTGGAGGCCACGACGACGACGACGACGACGATGCATCAGCGCGCGCACGCTTTTGTTTTACATCCGTATTGCGAAACCAGATGTTTTTGTATGTTTTTCGGGCACTCGAGTTTGAAATCCTTCCGAAACCGAAGGTTTTTGAACGATTTCCAAGGAACCCAGGGCGCCTTCCACAGAGAAGGGCCATGGCAACCCCAAGGAGCCCAGGGCACCCAGTGGAGGCCAGCAGGGTGCTTCTTGGCAGGGGCCTCCACTTTAAGGGTAGCTCTTTGGGAGATGTTATATAGGATCGGGAGTATAGCTCGCGCGCCGTTGCCTTTGGCTCAAGGCACGCGCGCCCTATTTGCCCGGACACTGCTTGTTTTCGCTATGTGCTGGAAAGATCATTACATCGATTTTATCCTATCTTATCCGTCCATTCCTCTTACTGAACCACCTCAGTACGATACCGGACGCTATTTGCCATCCGCTTCCCATGGGATCGGATGCTAATTGACTTACCATAGTAATTTCAGACTTGGTAGCGGAGCTGGCCGCACTCTCGTGTGGTCAGCTCTTGCTCTTCTTATCCTCACGCTATCCTGCACGATCTTCGTGACCAACTACCACCCTGCGCCACCACTTCAACTACATTTACGAGGATCAATTCAAGAGCAAGAAGCAACACGACAGGTACGACGTGTAGACAACAACACTGGCACCATATACGCTTCATCACTGCGCTACTACTAACCGCTCGGCAACGAGCCAAAAGCGCAGCACTTGAAGCAGAGGCGGGGAGACCCGCAAGATAAAACGCCTCGAAGACGTAACAAGGCGCTACCCCAGCGCGGCAACGCGCCTGATAACCACCCATATCTTCACAGCCTTGGGCTGGTTATCTTCGCCAGCATATGGTTTGCGCTGGGGGCAACAATCGGACACATGCGCCGAGGAGACAACAGCACCGATGGGCAAACACATGGCCCATACTGGGACCCTCAAGGCAACGCACCTTTCCGCGAGTACGTTTATGAGGTCAACGCGTGGCTCAACGTCAAAAGCGGACGTATGACGCCACAGGCCCAAGCAGCCGCCATGCAACGCGGCCTGGGCGGCCTAGCGAGGACACTCGCCATGAGGGTACCACCTGACATGATAAACTACGGTGCGGACATCGATGGTGTCCACACCGACCCAGTAACCTACATTATGTTCCTCCTAAGCATGAAGTTCGAACGCCTGGAAGATGAGCGCCAGCTCACTTCAGGCACACAGCTCATCGACTTTCATGTGCCTCACGGAGAACGAATCGATGTAACCCTCACTCGGTTCGAGATGGCCCGTCTTGAGGCACGGCCGATGGGTATTGACCTTCCCAACTTCCAACTGCTCACTACTATCCTATTCCGCGCCCTAGGCGTTGGCAACCAGCGAGCCATGCAACTCTTACAGCCACTCAACCACCAAATGCCCCGAACACAACAATAGTATGATGAGTTGTTGGAGAGGATGCGTTCGATAGGCCATCTGTCAGAACGGTCTCCTGGTAACATAGGATCAGTATTTGGAAGGGGAAGAGGAACTGGTAGTGGAAACTGTTACACTACCTTAACCACCGAAGCTCAGCCTGGCAACGGGCCCTCAAGCATATGGGCCGACGATCCTGGTGAGTTTACTGCCCTACTAACAGGGGATCGATCATAACCAAGCTGGGCAACCAGCCCCCCTTCTAGAGAACCTCAACCACGCCGTTCTTTATGGGGCGAAGCCAACCACCTAAACGACGGTGTATCCACCTACCTGGGAGACGACGATTTCGACTCCGGCGCCGACACCGATGCCATATCATCAGACGGTGTTGAAGCTTTAGACTGGTCAGATATCATGCGTATGGAAAGTGACAATCAGCGTGCCGAACACCTGTTCTGGTTATTACAGCAGGCAAAGCGGAGGTGGAGGAGGTTCACACGAAAACCAGTGCGTCGTGTCAGGAGGAATGATGGGATATTTTTCGGGGGAAAAGGCCGTGGTAAAAGGCCTAGAGATACCTCCGGCAAAGG